TTCACGGTCAGGGCGGCTAGGGTCTGGAACCAACTTCCAAGAGAAGTGGTGCAGGCTCCTACCCTGGGGGTTTTTAAGAGGAGGTTAGATGAACACCTTGCTGGGGTCGTTTGACCCCAGTACTCTTTCCTGCCATGGCAGGGGGTCGGACTAGATGATCTGCTCAGGTCCCTTCCGACCCTAGAAACTATGAAACTATGAAAATGCCATTTTCATGTTGGGAAGACAATGTGAGGGAGTAGTCATGCCATCAGTGCATGAAATCACTTCCTTATGGAAGCAATTAGGACTTCCAAAACAGATCCGTGGTAGAATATAGCCATAAGCTTTTGTTGCATGATAAAGTAAATAGAAGCTGGAAAATGTACCTTTGAACAAAACAATCTAAAATCAAAACCAATGATCCCACATTTTTAAATATGTCTTGTTCATGCAGTCCCATTTCAAATGGGGCTCCAACAGAAAAGTTGTACAATTAAAAAAAATAAGCAAACCACTGCCAGATAGGTTGGGACTCCAGGGCTGGAACTCATAGTTTTCAGGCTTCTTTTTGGGAGTTCTAGGAGGTAGACAGTTTGGGTTATCACTATCCCTGGTATAACTCCATTAAATCTCCAAGTCCAGATGAATCTGGCATCTGATTTCTGTTCTGGTAAAACAGGGATTATGAACTATTTTGCTAAACTCCACCCTTAAACTACTTTTTTGCCTCATGTCACACCCAGGTGATTAGTTTCAATCTTTGATACCTTGGATGTAAATGTATATTTCTGCTGTATTCAACACTGTATTATGCAAGTAAACACATGAGTGTACACACACCCACGCAGTTCATTTATCTCGAAATTATTTGGCTGCTAGGTGTTATGTTATTGGCAAAAAGATTTATGATTCTCATTAGCTTTCCTGCAATGGTGCCGAACACTAGAATACCCTGATAACTTGGCATTACTGTTGCTCACGTGTTCCATACGCTACCCAGAATGTCCTTGCTGCTACCTGTATACTCTGTTTTTTCTCAGACTGTTAAATGAGAGAAGATACTACAACTAATTGGCACAGTGACGTTGGTTGTTTTATATCTAATTAGTCTTCTTTTCTGAAAGATAAACTGTCCAGTGAACTTTGGATAAGTTATTTGTTCACAAAGAGAACATGAAAAGGGTATGACCTGTGGAAAGACAACAAGAAAGATTTATTTTGGTAGGCACTGTGCTTTTCTGTCAGTCATCTAGTCTCAGTATACTACCGAGAAAGGTAAAATGCATCCCATATTGTTGTGGGGGGAGGTCGGGGTTTGGGGGAGGGTCCAGTGGCGGGTGCTGATGGGTACACAGTAGTATGATGTTTTTCTCTATTTCTCCCATTTTTGTAAATTCATTTAGGCATTTTTGTGAAAATGTATGAAGCCAAATTAACCTGTGGTTTTAAAGTACTTTAGTTGCATTAAAGTCAATAAGGTCATGTCACCTTAAACCAATAATATATTTTGTCTCTGATTTTTTTGCCAGGAAAATAATAGTAATATTTTTTTTCTTTTTAATACTAACATGACTTTCTTCTTGTAGATAATGGATTGATCAGATATTCATGAACACCAGTATCAAGAAATCTCATTCGCATAAATGAATTGGACAGGTAAGATGATGAATTTTTAATTTATTTGACTCCATGAACATAGTATTAAAACAGTTATAGCACAGTAAAATAATTACTGAAGGATCAGGCTTTGATGAATACTAAAAGTGGATTGACTTAGAATTTGACCAGCTGTTTGTAAAGTTCAGACTCTATAACTTATGCCTCCGTTTCTTTCCTTTGTAAAAGGAAGTGTTCTGAAAGCTGAAATCACAAACTTAAAGGCTAGGGACAGACATTACACAAACCAGTTTAAGTGATCAGAAACTGGTTTAAACCTGTAACAGAACAGATGTTCAGTGCACATAAACGACTTTGAAAATGGCTGAAACAAGTTTGAGATAAACCTGGTTGAATGTAATATTAGACTTAACTGATACGGGTGAATCTGATTTATGTAATGTCTGTCCCAGACCCCTTGCTGGTTTAAGTTAAACCAGGTTACCCCAGCATCCCAGCATGCTCTCTGGGCTGAGCGGGGCTCTCTGCTCCATGGCTGCATCTCCAGCAGTCTCTGCAGGCATCTGCCTGTCTTCCCCCTGCTCCCCACTTCCCCTCCCCACTCTCTGCTAAGCAGGCATTTCCCTGTCCCTCACAGGCACCTCTCAGCATTAGCTAGCAGACCTCTGGCTACCTCCAGAGCTGTGACAGATGGACAAAGGCAGAATCAACAGGTAGCTGGTAATGTCCCTCTGTTGTTTTCTTAGTGGGCTGATAAACACTGAGTTAGGGGTGACAAACATTCCCTGCTGGGGGGAGGGGAACCCCTCCCTAATCATAGCATCCTATGTGGGGGGGGGGAGGGTCTGGCCACTCCCCACCCCCAGCTCAGCGCTGTAGAAGGGAGGGGAGGGCTGCTCTAGCACCTCCCAGCTTCTAGCCTGAACCACTGCAGGCATTTGCCTGCATTTCTGGGATGTCTGTCTGGTCATAAACTGATTCAGCCTAGCCAGGTTAGACTAACTTGCAAAGATTGAATCAATTCAGGCTCAGGATTTTCGAATGTCTGTCCCTAGCCAAACAGATAAACATGGCAAAGGAGTGAAACTGTGGTGAGGAACCATGAGATGAGCACAGTGAAGGATTTAATGCGTAATTGATATTTGTTGAGAGAGAAGGGGAAGCATCCTCTTTCACTTAGAGGGTTAGATTGGACATCAGAGTGGTTTGGCATGGAGTTAGTAGGTTTGCAATGCTGCAGAGGTTGTTGAGTGGAATTCACATTGTGAAAATGCTTAAGTTGGCTTTTGAAGGAGAAATGGCTGCCTCTCCCCAGTGTGTTGGCCATTGGCCACAGCTATATGGAAGGGCTTGATGAGCAACCTTACAAGTAGAACGTGGCAGCTATTGAAGGCCATGTTATGGCTCCATAACCACAGGCTTTGTTGTATGTGCGTGTGTATCTCCTTCCTCTTAAGAATCAGAAGAGAATACTAAATTCAATAGTAACTCCATGGGGCATTTACTTAAGTAGAATATAATGACCCCTAAAGTTGAAAAAAAGACTTGATCAAAACCTTCAAAAGAATGATATAAAAACTTTAATTATTACAGTTAATCAGGGACTTGGTTTTATATACATCCTGGCAGCTTTCTGTCTACTGTATCCCATGTGGAAGAATTTATTCAGTATTAATTTAAAATATTCACCCTTCTGGACTGCCACCTATTCATTTTAAGGAAAGGTCTTGTTTGAGGCAGAGAAACTGCTCTCTTCATGCAAATATGACTAGATGAATATGGTATTTTAAATAGGTATTAATACCTATATTCATAGATATGAATAGGTATTTTTCAGTGAAACTAAGTATTTTAAAAATAACATCTCAACAGATATCAGTTGGATCACAAAGCTTGCACCAAGCAATAGAATAAACACAGGCATAAAAACAACTGAAATATACTGTGCTTGGAACTGGCTGGCCTTTGCTCTTTCATGGCTGGCACTCCCTCGCCTAGTAATATAGATACCAGACTAAAATGGCTTTAAGATGCTTTTAGCGACATGTTTATGATCCTCAGACAAACAAAGAGCTCCTGTAATTCTTTTAAAGACAGTATTTTGCACACATTAATCTTAACCATAAAATAAGGCATCCAATCATCTCACACTTATAAACAGTTTTCTGACTTTTAAAACTTCAGTATTTTTAGCTTGACTTCATAGTAACATAGGACTGGACAAGATCTCTGAGGTCACTGAGTCGAATGCCCCATCTTAGGCAACTGTGTTTATACAACTTCTGTCATAAAGAGATCAAATTCCATTTTAAAGGTAGTTAGGTTTTTGTCCTAACTATTCCTTTTGGAAAGCTGTTTCAAAACCTCCCTTTCCTTTCACCTTCCTTTCACCTTCCTTCCCAACCTGTATGTACCCTTTGTTCATGACAATACTGTGTTTTAGTTTAAATAATTTTTTTCCCTTCCTCATACTTACCCCTCCTCACATGTATTTATCAGAGCAATCATGGCCTCATTCAGATGATCAAAGGCATGTGGTATGCAGCATTGCAAATCTAGGCGTTCTCTGTGCTGCTACTTTGCAGTGCAGGGAATTGTCTTGACCCTGGGAAATCCCGGGGTCAAAAAATTCCATGCCAAAAAAAACCAGGGTGATGCATGTGGCAGTAGCACATGCCACCCAAAACCAGAGCCTGGCCAGCCGGAGCCATGCTTCAGCTGCCAGCCAGGCTTCCTGCTGCAGGAAAACACTGTGGCTGCAGCTCCCTGAGGCCCCCCAGGTAAGGCTGCTGTGACCAGCATAGCTGCCGGCTCCAGGCTCTCCTACCCCACCCTGGGTAACCTGCTGTGCACTGGAGCGTGCATGGCCTGGGTGTTCCCCAAGGATAAGTAGCAGCAGCTCAACATATGCTGCCACTACTTGTCCCCAGGGAAACACACATTCCTGCTTGTGGGGCCACAGCCCATATGTCCTTTTAACATTTATTTTCCTGGGCTAAACAAACCAAGCTCTTTAGTACCTTCTCGTACAATAAACTCCCAAATCCCTTGATCATTCAGTTACCCCCTCTGTGTATCCCTTCCTGTTTTGATTTAATCTCTTGCACATGGGTAACTACAACTGTACATGGCATTTCAGATGAGTTTCACCAGTGTCTTGTGCAATCTCTACTGGAAGTTCCTCCTCTGAAATACTCTAGGATGAAATAGGGCTTTTTAACAGCTTCATCACTGAAACATGGTAGGACCCAATGCATGACTGGGCAGTGAATGTCAAGGGCTATAAGCTGTACAG